TTTTTGATATCTTTTTCTTACTATGGATAAAAAATGTTTGAACATTTTATAATATTTAAAATTTTAAAATCAAATTTGAAAAGGACTAAAATTCAAAATTGAAAAAAGTGCCTCGTACGGTTCTCAAGTAAACTTCATGACAAATTCAAATCGGTTTTCAAATTACTTATCGGATTACTGATTTGGCCTGTGCGATGGACAAAAAATGATGTGTTTTGACTGAAAAAAAACGGCCGGTATCGAATCCCCTTAACTTATCGTATACCGAGTGACAGACATAAGGTAAAAAACTAGTAGGTTTTTCAAAAACCATTTTTTTTTCTAAATAGATATCTCTTTTGGAAAAACTAAGGAATAACTACTGAATAACACTAAACACGATATCGTTGTGTGTTCTTAAATTACATATTTTCCATCCAGATCGACGAAAAATGTAGTTTGTTCAATACAAATTGAAGTTGTTAATACTGATTGATTTATGAGGATAATTTGTAGTAGTTTGAAACATCGGTATCGTCATTGCGATATATACTCGAGAAGGTAAAAATTAATAAATCTTTAATATAAAAGATCATTGGATTTTCGGATGAATACACAACTTGTAGTGGGTTTTTTCACCTTTAACGTTTCCAAACATAACGCCGCGACCTTAATGAGTTTAGTGATCGCTGTTCAAGAGATTCCAAGTGATTTATGATGTAGACTTTTTTTCCTGCGAAATTGTTTCTACAAATATTTACCACAGTGTCAAATTATTATTATATAATTGTTTGAATAAATTAAATTTGACGCCATTCAATAGATATATCGACTAATGGCCTGCTATTTGTTTTCACATTACGGTATGCTTTATGGTAAAAAAAAAATCTTACATGAAAAATTGATTCTCAATGGGCCGTTGTGTAAGCATTTCGTTAGCACCCGAGCTAACGTGTCGAATCGACTAATTTGACTGACTGACAGGTCAGCTATGTTCAAACAATACTATCGGCCGTTGTGTGCAGTGTATTATATTTTATGTACATAAATTTAATCTCGGCCAGAAAATCACATCGCCATTCATCATATAAAATATAATTACACGCGCCTACCCCGAGGGACTCTCCTGTCGTGGGAATCAAATACCTGTGTGTGTGTGGGGGGAGACACAAAACGCATTAGAATATGTAAATCCAATAGAAAATAAATCCTCTGAGTAGGTACGCAAGTAACTGCGAATGTTAGGCATAATATCCGTTCTTTGGTGAAATTCGTTGTTATTTTTTCATTGCAAGTCTCGCCCAAGTGACGGCTGTTGTTATACTTGGATGAAGTTCGAACGGTTGTGCAAGACGACTGTTGTGCGAGTCTCCGTGTAAAAAACTTTTGACAAAACTTTGTGAACTATCTGAAAACGTTATTTTCACAGCAAGATCTTACGGACGGACGGACAGCTATGAATGATCAAAACTTTCTTGCTCCGTGCGGAACAAAAGGTTGTTACGATAATGTTTTCCTTGTAGAGTCGACAAAGGCGGTAATGAAACAAATTAAAAATAAACTTTCGAGCAAATGAATAAACGATTACCGACCGGTGTTTTGTGGTAGGCGCTGTTTTTAATATTGTCGACAGAGTTTAAATTGTTTAAGCGCTTTCTCGTGTAAATACTACATTATAGATTATATCGGTAGGAATAGACTATATTATTATTTAGTTGTAGGAGAGAGTAGTTTACAGAGAGCGAATGAATGCAGTTAACCGGAGTTTAGGTGTAGTGGATTTTCTAGGAAATCTGAGCATTTTTAATGGAAAAATGTATTTTTTCAAAATTGAAAATCGAGAATTTAGGAATCATAATTATTTTGACGTGTACCTTTGAATAAATCTAAAATCCAAGAACATTTGATTTCTATTAAATTTATTAAAATTGTTCATGTCAAAATGTACATAATGACTTGATCTTTACATTTTTGAGCACATGTGATTTTAGGTTAAACAATTGCTCAGTTTCTCAGAAAAACGCTTCGCGCTGGAGCAATACTTTTTTAAATTTCTAGATTTTTAAGACATTTCGAAACAAAAACAACACTATCTCATTTATACAAATAGCTAATATTGGTAAGTCAATTGCGTTTAAAAATAAAGCAATGGTCGCAATATTTAGCATTAAAAAACCGTTGCGATCAAGGTACGGTTAAGGTATATGATGTAAGAATCAATAACAGTGATGTTATTATGTATAGATAAAAAAAATATAACATGAATAAAATAATATATGTCGTCTACAAGGGCTTAACACAGCACAATTTTTTATTTACCAAAAAAAATACGCCACACATAGTATTAGACAAGGATTTTAAAAAACATGGTAAGAAAAAAATGTATTTGTTTTCGATCAGAAACTAATATTCAGCTATGATACCAACATAAATTATTTCGAATATTTTAGCTTCTATGCGGATTGTTACTTTTTTATTTATATTATACATTTATAAAAAAAAAAAATTTTAGTCGACAACATTTTCTGAAAAGTTTCCAATGCATTTATTCTGCATTAGTATGTACAACAGAAAAATACCTGAATGAAATGTATGAGCCATTAATCTTGTTAATTGTTGGTGGGAAATCATTCGGCATACAAACTATGTATAGTTAAAAATTATACTTACACTTATATGTTATATAAGTGGTTGTAATTCAAACGGCACTCTCACAATTAGGTAATTACTAATAGCGTTGTTGGAGTTGAAATAATATGATAGATTCGTTCAATTAAATACTCTGACGAGTACATTTAAATATAATGGGAGTACCTTTTCTTAGTTTTTCATTTATGGTATTTTCGAAATATTACAGCTTTGAAACACAAAGGCTGCGTTATAAAAACAAAGGTTAGGTGTTAGTATTTTGTACTATCATGACACAATATTTCACAACATAGAAAATTCGTTTGAAGTTTCCGTATAGGTAACACTAGAAAACCTACTATACCTGGTTTCATAATAAATATACCGTTATTTTCTGTTTTACATTAGGTTTTAATGTTGTCATGCAAACGTTTGAAGTGATATTAGGTATCAAACCCTCGCCATCGAGAAAAATCAAATTAAAATAGTTTTATAATGATGAGATATAATGGTAAATAAGATTCAGAGGTGAATAATATAAGATAATAAAGAAATAGATAATTTAAAAGCAGACATTTTTTTTATTGAAATTTTAAATGAGTATATATTTTATTGGTGATTCTTCTTCTTATCGTGTCCAGGCTTTATTTATTGGTTGTTGAAAACTTTAAGTCAGTATTTATGAATAACGAAAATATTATTCTACATTAAGCGACCTATTCAAGTTGACCAAATGACTTGGATTAATTGGATTAAGTTCAATGGGTGGGATGATTAAAATATATTTTGTTAAGTCACTCATACAAAATGATTAATATCTCATTTACGAATACTTATAAATCATGATTAAAAAATTGATCATGGATAAATACTAAATAGTTAATTTAATCGTGAAAAATGAATAAGTACATAATGAATCAATATATTTTGATTTGTGAATTTATTTAAACAAAAATATATTGGAATAATGCCCAACGTCATACTGGAGTGAAACAATAATCTCACTTCAGTCGAAATCCCACGTCGAATCCAGATTATTAAACATAAATTTCAGAACAAAAAATACTCATCTCACATATGTATCTCACCTATGTTTAAAATAAAAAAAACTTAAAACTATTATACAGTGTACACAGTCGCCATCTCAGTACGGATGTATGAGCCTTTGATTAATCCAAATAAGTAGGTTCAGTCGAATAATTAAATAATTAAAAATGGTTGGATTATTTGATCCTTCGGGTGATTTCCAATTACAAATGCGTCAAATGAAGCGCATAAAGGATGCGAGTTAAATGAACTAGTAATTATTATAATCGGTTGTTCATCCAGAGGCTTAAATTATTAAAGTCGTTTAAGGGAAAGTTAATTTAAGCATGTGTGTGTGCAGCAGTACATAATGTCGGTCAAACATAAGCTTAATAAATATTTATATTTATCAGTTTTGAAAAAGTATAATTTATAATATTATAATTTTCGCTTAAAAATGATTAACTCAAAATGAATAGTCTCTCTAAAATTAATTTAACGCGTTAAAGATTTTAATTATTTCAAACAGGTATACGTCTAAAGTTTATCACAACATAACATTGACATTTTTCAGTTCAACTTTACCTTAACCCTTACAAATGGGGTCAGTCAGCCAAATATCCTTACCCACAAAACTCTTTCAGACTTTAAAATTATCATCGGTCGATAACCTGTAGATGAATATTTTTATCTTGATATTTATCTAGATTATGTTTATTTTTTAAACAAAACCTTTGTTTTAAACTAAAAACAGATATATGATATTGTTATTAAAAAATTGTCATTGTCGTTGATCTAACTCTATATATTATTAATAAATTATGGTTGTCTCAAAAATATGACGTACAAATTAATTAAAAACAGAAAAAATATCGTTTGCTATTTCATAGCATTAATTCAAAAATTTGAAGTTTAATCCGATGTAGTTGACTTTGTTTGAATTTACCAAACTAACAAACGGTTAAAATCGATGTTACAAAGTATCGCCATGTACACAAAGTTGGCAAATTTTAATATTTGTACAGAACAATACTTCAGCTAAGAATTTGTTAACGTTTTTAAACGGTAGTCTTTAATAAAATATTGACTGTGAATAGAACGCACAGAAAAACAGTAACATGTCTTAAATTGTTTGTTTTATACACTAGAGTAAACAATTTCTTTACATTAAAAAAAAATTGGCTGCAAGTAGAACGCGCAGAAAAATAGATACAATAAGATGCCTGTTTTTTTATACACTAGGGAAACAGTGTATTTACATTAAAAAATATATTATTTTGGCATCTAAAAAAACATAATATTGTATAAAGTTTGAATTTTCCAAGTAAAAAATTGTATCATTACACATTTCGCATCGATATTTTCACTGAACATAAAGCGATTCGCCATGATTTCTAAGGAAATATTAATCACATTATTTTTGGTATGTAAAAACTTGATACTACTTGTAGTTTATGTAATAGTTAATATAGAATAATTTTATTTATAAGTCATAATAATAATACAAATAATGATAGATTTATATTAATTTTTATGATTCTTAGTTGTCTCTTGGAGCCGACATAGTTTCAGCGGTAAGTATAGAACTCAATAACTATAACAATGTATTCAAAACTATTTTTAACCCCTAAAATATTAAATAAATTTGTTTAGCGCGTGGACCATTTGAAAAGATTTAGAGATGAAGACCAAGTAGCTGTGGTAACTGGAGCTAGTAGAGGTTTAGGCCTTGCTACAGCTGCGCGGTTGCTCAAAGAGGGCATAAACGTAGTTGCTATAGCTAGACGAGATGAGTTACATGCGGTAATATGAAAACATAATTTTAACTAAATTTGGCTACTCAACGGTGTTTAACAGCGTTTTTTCTGGGCTCGTTACTTTTCGACATGTGTGTTTATTGTTTTTTGCATACATTTATTTAGAATATAAAAAATCTCCTACCGAAACCGAAAGATAACCCCATACCACTAGGAATATTGTACGCGAAAAAATGTGACGTTACTAACGAAGAAGAATTCTTAAAGATTTTTGAATGGATAAACCAAACTTTCAAGGGGATATCTATAATAGTGAACAACGCTGGTGGGCCTATAAGGGCCACTCTTTTAGGTAGTAAACCACGTTTTAAGTTTTGAAAAATTATTTTGGATTATTATTAAAAAAATTAACCCATTAGGAGGGAAAACGGATAATTGGAAGACGCTTCTGGAGCTCAATGTCATCGCTCTATCGGTGGGCACTCGAGAAGCGTACCGGTCTATGGTGAGAAACAATATCGCCGGTCACATTATTCATATGAATAGGTAGATAATTAAACTTGTTTTTTAAAGATAACTCCGACGTTAAAATGTTTTATTTGAGTATAACTTAAATAATATTTTTAAAGCGTTAATTAATAATTTTCTCATAGCGTTACTGGACATTCCTTCATCGGCGCTTTTGGACATAAAATGTATAACGCATCCAAAAAGGCCATAACAGCGTTAGCGGACGGGTTAAGACAAGAATTGAAACTTAAAAATTCGAATATTAAAGTCACGGTAAATATATATATTCACCTTCATTTTGGAAGTATATGAAGAAGTGACGAAATTCAAATACCGAGTAATTTTTTCAGAGTTTAAGTCCGGGCTTAACCACAACTGATATATTGGTAGCTGACGAAGCCACTCGACAACACAACCCATACACAAGCCCAAAACCATCATTAGACGCCGATAACGTGGCTGACGCAATCATCACAGCACTAGATACACCTGTAGAGGTTTTGGTATGTTAGGTTTTTTTTACTTTTAGTTTGGGAAAAGCTTAGTAGAGGTTACTGGAGGAGAATTATATAATAAAAGCGAAAAGGCTTTAGATCTATTGTGGGAATACTACTATTTGATTATCACGTGTATTCTGGGTTATAATTGGGAGCTGGCAATTTTTTAATAATCTATATTTAACCATGTGTGTTTAACCAATGATCAATCACTAATTATAATTGTGATTATTTTTAGATTGCGGAATTAATTGTCGTTAAAGTCCCAACTACTATACAATATCATTCCACACCTGCGGGTCCTTTTACGATTGAATTACAAGACTAAACAACGAGTCACACATCATATAATACATTAATACTTGATACCTATTTTGTTTTAAAAACTATTGTTCTAAAGATATAAACTTTTAAATGTATACCTATGTTTTATTTTATTTATGTTAAACCGTTAAAAAAATGTAATTATAATATTATAATTTTTACATTGTAATAATAATAAAATTATTAAAAAAAACAACTTTACACTTAATCCTTGCCGCGTTAGGTGATGACAATATTACAACATTGTATTGAAATATATTTTAGCCCGTTTTATATGAAAAATACAGCAGTACTGCCGAAATTGGTTCAGCGTGACATGTTTACTTCCGTTTACCGGCCAAATTCACCTCCGTCAGTCCTACTTCCGTTAGGTACCTATTTCCGGTACTTGCACAAATTTACTCCTATCCAAAATATCGTACCGCGCGTGAAGATATTTGCACATCAATAATTGATGGGAAAATCATATTTTACCGCGAGGGAAATAGTTACGAAATTTTAGAAGCCGGAATACAGTGAGGCGATTGATAATTACAATAAGGTCTAATTGGGTTCCCATATGGAGTATTTTAGTATTTGATATTTATGGCACCCTTGATTTGGAAAGTCTTCTAAAATCAGTTGTACAACTATGAACTACATTAATGACAGAAACTGAATAATTTGTATTTCAATTCAAATTCAATGCGAATAGAATAATGCAGTTTTTGTTTACAATATAAGTGACGAAAAAAAAAATCAAATTTTGAGTTTTACAGAAACCTATTGAAAACCCAAAAACAAAAACACGAAAACAAATTATAGCATTGAGATGTTTTAACCTATTTTTGTTACGCGAAAAAAAAATAAAGCAATTTCTTAGGGCTTGACATTTTATGAAAAACAATATTTTGCTATAAAATTGATTTGCCAATACTATATTGTATATATATATAAAAATATTTGATTTAAAGCATCAACAGCCTACACTGATACTGTTTGCTACAAGTTTTTATCGCATCGGTGTTCCTATTTAAGTTTTTACTGTTATATTCGAAACTCTGGTTGTAAAGTGTATCCCTGTACATTTGTCTGTATTTTCTTTGAACCGTATTTTTCTAAAGTAAATAATATGTTTATTTTACCATCTCATAACATCACAATATTATATATGGAATACTCCAAGTTCTACGTTTTATTCCACACTATTTGGCTGTTGTTTTCGCTGAACGTAATAAAAACTGATTAATCATGATTTCTAAGAAAATATTAATTATATTATCTTTGGTGCGTATAACGAATATAATTATTTAGCAATTAACAAAAAAATAATTTTACATATAATTAATGTTGTTTGATTTTAGTTCTCCCTGGCAAGCAGTAAATATGCAGAGGTAAATATGAATAATAAGCAACTCCATTTCTTTTTCCATATATTAATTTAAAGACTAACGTTGCGTGAATCCCATGTAACATAATAAAAAAAAAAAAACGTCAAATTTCTTCACTACATTAGTACAAAATAATTTTTTTTACGGCAGAACCACTTTGAGCGGTTTAGAGACGCTGAAAAAGTTGCAGTGATAACTGGAGCTACTTCGAAAATTGGGGTCGCCATCGCTATAGAGTTACTCGAGGAGGGCATAAACGTAGTGGGTATAGATAATTCAGTAGATGGTTTAGACCAGGTTAGTTTCACAGCTATTTTAAAATTCAATAATATTGTGTACGCTCAACATATTAAACGTGTTTAAAATATGTTTCTTATGCTCGGTTAGATTGTAAATAAGGAACTGCGGGTAGAAAAAAAACCTGGTGTGTTTCGTACGAAAAAATGTGATGTCACCAACGAGAAAGAATTACAAATTGTGTTTCAATGGATAAAGGAAAACTTAAATGGTATTGGCATAATGATTAACAACGCAGAAAGAGTTATACGGACTTCTCTTTTAGGTAAAATAAACTATTACTATCTGTTAAACGAACGTGTTTTCGAATATTTCATTAAAATTATATATTTAAAGACGGAAAAACGGCAGACTGGCGAGCGATTATGCACGTCAACGTTGTAGCTCTGTCAGCGTGCACTAGAGAAGCATACACGTCTATGGCGGCTCACAAATTTATCGGTCATATCATTGATATAAACAGGTAACAATAAAATATAATAACCATTCATTTAAGTAGTCAAGAGTATTTTTAACATTTTCATGTCTTAGCTCTAGCACATAACCGAAAAAAGTTTTAATAACGAAAAACTTGTCATGAACCCGGAGATGGGGTTGGGGTTGAGGGTGGGGGTGGGAATGGGGTTAGCTCTGGCACATAACCGAAAAACTGTCACGAAAAAAGCGTTACGCTGTTATCTGATAGGAGTTAAGAGATATCGCACAACGTTCAAACTAGAACTAAATAATAAATTATACTAGCTTGTTACTGCTTGTTAATATACTAATTACTATTTCATTATCTATAATTCCACCACTACTCTAAATTTATTCGGTACTTCAAAGAGACATGTAAATGCTCTTTCGTAGTTGCAGGCTCGGCTGAAAAATGTTTTAAAAATTCTTTTATTCGTACTTCTGACACTTTACAAGAATTTAATTATGTTTTTAACTATATTATTCCATTGAGTATTATAGTTTTAGAATTTAGCTGTTAAAATAATAAAAAATTAGTACAGTGGTGTCGGGGCTTAGTGGGAACGGAGCATAGTGAGACGAGCAGGTCTACAGAAATTATTATAGTTGGAAGTGGTAAAAATCACTTTCTTATAAACGCTTTTAAGCGAACTTGTAGACACTGAACCTTACATTAATACTTTTTTTTTTTAATATTTAGCACTGCTGGCCATTCAATGGTCGGTGATTATGGTTATCAAATGTACAATGCATCTAAAGTCGCATTGACAGTACTGGCCGAAGGTATCAGACACGAATTGCAGTTGAAAACATCGAAAGTAAAAGTCACGGTAAACACCTTATCTAAAAAGAAAATAATAACAACTATTGTCGATGTTGTATTCAGAGTTAAGCGTCATTCAAAAAAAAAAAAAATTGTCCTTAAAGACTTCTTTGGACTATTTTTTGGTTGAAGTCTTAGACCAAAAAGCCAAACAACATTTCGGCTACTTAAGATGGTCTGATTTCAATTCTGTAAAGATATACGAGCTCTTTGACAACTTTACTGAGTCATGTTGGAAACAGATTTTTGCTTTTTTTATGTAAAACGATTGGGTTTTATTATTGGAAAAATGTATTTTAATAATACCTCGAAGCTTATAAAAGTTAACCGGTAAATTAATTGACATGATCGAAATTTATGAAAATCTATTTTTTTTAATATTGTCTATACAAAACTCCTTAAAAACAGATCGCATGAAATCTCCTTATATAATAACAATTTTTACAATAACTTGGACGGGAAATTATACTTTAAATAAATACTTATTCGAATAAAATTCTCCTGTTTTTTTAATTAAAGTCAATAAGAACATTCGAATGAAAAATATATGTTTGTTCCTGATTGTATTATCTACAATATATTATCAACCGTTGTCTATTGTTGTGTAAAACACATACTTTGTTTTGTAATTGTTTTAGAGTGTAAGTACAAAGTTTATTGACCCCTACACAAGTAACACAAGTAAAAAAGACGAAGTTAAGTTATTTCAGCCTTTAGAACCCAAACGCGTTGCTGACATGGTGATGTTTGCAATCAATACACCACCAGAAGTAGTGGTATGTTTATTAATAAGTATTTTTTTATTTTTTATTTGTTGTAATTAAAATTTAATATTATAATGGACGAAAAATGTTAATACTAATCAGTGGTTGTTCTTGAATATTACTTTTTCAAGACGCCATCAAAAATATTATTGATTATCTTTTAATACTAATAATTGCACATCATTCGATTATATTTATTTTCAGATTGCTGAACTCACTGTTGTACCAGTCGGTGCAACTATACAAGACCATAACGACTACGTTCTTATACGTTCTAAGCTTATACGTTCTAACACTTTGTAATTCTATAAAAAATTTAATATTATTGTACTTTTATAATATCACTTTACTCGACTTCAAAAAACTTAAAATAATATTATAATATTTATAATGTCCCTTATTTTGATTGTGAAACAGTTTAGATAAATACCAAATAAATAAAACAGATATGATATAATTTAATATTGTATTATCTATAATTACTAATAACATTCAATTACTGTTGTCATAAATTACTTTAAAACGATTTAGAGTAAATAAAGTTTGTTCTATTAGTTACAGTAGAGTTATTGACTATTTTTATAGAATACTTTACATATATATATATATATATATACTGTATTCAGCCTATAGTTTATTTATACTTAGGATCATGAAATTTTCCCGAGTCTTATAATTTACTAGATTTTAAAAGTATCAACAGAAATCAGACTTGATCATTGAGGTGTCAAACCGAAATGGTGACAAACGTTTTGAGGTTCTCTAGAGACACGAACATTTGTGTAACTACACATTTTTCTAGTTTAGACTTTAAAACTATATTGAACATTTATTTGTCTCTAAATACCGAAATTGTAGGTATTACCTACAATTTCGGATTACCGAGATAGGTAATTTTGATAAGTAAAAGGAATCGTTATAAATAAACATTTTTCATAGATTCCTAGATTTTTATTCCTGCGCCATACCTACATAGGTAGATGATCAATATTATTATGGGTCGTTGTCTTATTTAGTAATATCACTAATATGTTATCACCATACGAAGTTTCGTTCATTATAAAAAATAGCCTATGCAACTTTATAGACAAAGAAACGGGCACACTAGACGGTTTCCAATAAAGTATTGAAAGTTAAAGGTAATAAATAGCGTTGTGCATGTCAAGTACTCTTAACGTAGAGGAGAGATGTTATCATAAGATATACTTTATATATTGTTGGAAAATAGCTGAATAGTATTTAAACTTTCTACTAGGAAGTATAGAATCAGATCTGTCCATTTGCCACTTCTCGTTTTTCAGTGAGTATGATACAAGCTTACAAAAACAATTTTTAAAAAAAATTCCAGTTGTCGCGCTTTTCTTACTTTGTTTGGAGACATTAATATAAAAATCAGTACGTGTCGTACGT